AACCCACAAAGCGTCGCTCCTAGAATGTTCTCTCAAAGAAAACCTTCGATACGAGAAACGATCGCGTTGCACAATACGGCGAAAGCAATTATTGCCGCCACACTCGTTCGTGAACGGAAAGGCAAGCAACGCCGAACGCGAGAACGCGCGCGAACAAGAGTCGCAAGCGAGATGACGTGATGACCGTGACGCAATTTCGACGCGCACGCGTTAACACCTTGCCTTTGTGCATTCGAATTTCAGGTGAACGTAATTCAGGTTCGCGCGCAGTCTTTCAACAGTCTGACAAGCGTCGCTATGCGTTCGTGAATGCGCGAGACAACACATTTTGTCGGAAAAACGACGCGCAATAATGTTGAAAACGACTACTTACACACTTGCTTACTTACTTCTTTAGCTCTTTTACGAACAATAAAACTCTCTTGAGAAAAGAGATGCTCCAAAATGAAGGAATTGAGGTGGATTGCACACTGAGAGAAAAACAAATATCTAAGAAATGAAAAATATTCGCACGCAACAGGTATTAATAACATATTTATTTAAATTCTTCTATTTAAATAGAGTAAACAGTTACTTTCATAAGAAGCTAAAGAAATATTTTGCATCAGTAAATATGTTATTTTTTCAAATCTCTTTTATTTCTTAGATATATTTCTCTCAGTGTATAGATGCAAGTTTTACACGTATTTCTAATGTTGTAACTTGTCTAGCTTACTTTCTCAAATATATTTGTTTATATTAATTATTTCTGTCGTGTAAAGATCTCGAGTCAACTCAATTTTCCAGCTATTTGCGCGACAACATTTTATACATTTTAATATTTATACAATATAATAACGCGATACTCTCGAAGATAAGATCTCATCTTTACAGTATATTTTTAATATAATTACTTGCAGGTGTTCCAATTTTCATTTAATATCATTTAGTAACACGCTCGCTACTAAAGACTCGTTAAATAAGTCGTTTTTTTCTCTTTATTCGTTCATTTTATTACTTGGTTGTAGTAATTGTAAATGTAATAATTTACTTTTTTAATATTAACTTTTTTAATATTAACCGGGTGGAAATTTTAGCAATTTACTATTTGATGGTATAACTGATTTTGTCGTAATTTCCTGACGTATATTTCCATACGTATTGCGTAAAAGATACATTCCTCTTACGAGATATTTCATCCACACCATTTTTTTAATTATATAAATGCAACTATCTAATTAACATATTAGAGCATACGTTGAATACTATTGAGAGTATTATATGCTTGCTGAATGCTCTCAAAATTGTCACCTCGTACAGGCAAAAATGAGAAAATTTCGCGATTGCGGAATGTATAAATTATTGCATTTTGGAGCCAAATTGAAATAGGAGAGAGAGAGAGAGAGAGAGAGAGAGAGAGAGAGAGAGAGAGAGAGAGAGAGAGAGAGAGAGA